GATGCCTCAAACCACTGTTTCTGATGCAATTCTGATGTAGGAGTAATGATCTTGGGTATTACTAACAGGAGAGCATCTTACCACAGGTGTAACTCCCAATATTTGTGGGCAGGCCTGGACATGTTTGTGTTAGGAGCCCACACTGCATAGTATTTGTCACACTATACAGTATAGGATTTGTGAGAAACATGCAGTCCAGTGTGCAAAGGTTATGTACCCACACACTTCCCATTTATATCAATAACTGCCATCATCGGCGATGCCCGGATTGCCATCTGTATACTGGACTATTGTGATCTTTGCATGGCCATAGTGATTGCTGCACAGCACAGCAATGATTGTGTCTTCCTTTATTACTTACTTCAATAAAGTACTTTTTTAATTGAATATATCCAGTCCCTGGAATTTTATTGCATTTTTATTTTGTCTCCCTGGACATCCAGCATTTCCATAGGTTGGGATCATTCCACCCAAGCCTGTATATACCAGATCGGGTTCATGCTCTGGGTTTTGTAAGTAGGATACTTACCTTTATATTTTCCCACTGCAAAACCGTATTACACTATTGGAGTTCTTCTGATTATGTTTCTTTGCATATACTACTGCTTGAAGCAAAGACTCCTGGATCTCACCATTATATCCACAGACGGGGACTATACTGTCTATGTCTACAGAAATAGAGCTATATTCGCTCTATAAAGTGTGAGTGTTCCACTGGCATTGGTAATATAATTTGCATATATATTATACAGTCCAAGATCCCCAGCGCCAAGTGTCTAGCTAACAGACACACACATTTACTGACAGAGACACACTCAGCGACACACATACACACTCCCTTACAAAACATACACTCTCACTGACACTCTACCTGGCTAAGCGCTCTCTGCCCAGCTCCTTTGCGCGCCGCTTACTGATGCCAGAGCCGGAATATGACGTCACATTCCGGCTCCGGCATCAGTATGCAGTGCTCCCTTGGCGCTGGGGATCCCTCTGCCCAGATCCGCCTCTTAGCTCCGAATGCGCATGCGCGGCAAGTGCCGCGCGTGAATTCAAACCGCCCACAGGAAAGCATTACTCAATGCTTTCCTATGGACGTCCAGCGTCTTCTCACTGAGATTTTCACAGTGAGAATTGCGGAAGCGCCTCTAGCGGCTGTCAGTGAGACAGCCACTAGAGGCTGGATTAACCCTCAGTGAAACATAGCAGTTTCTATGAAACTGCTATGTTTACAGCTGCAGGGTTAAAACTAGAGGGACCTGGCATCCAGACCACTTAATTGAGCGGATGTGATCTGGGTGTCTGCAGTGGTCCTTTAAGTGTGTGTGCATTTACATGCACTGGCGTACATACCGCGGCTGCAGGGGTCGCAGCCCTGCGACCCCTGCGACCAGGTGCCCGCGCCATGTGTTGCGGTCCTGGTCCGCGCACAGTAAGCGCGGGGGGGGGGGACAAGAATCAATTTTCGCACCAGGGCCCCATGGGTCGTGTGTACGCCACTGGTCCTAACCTCGACATCTGAGGAAAGGGATTTAGGGGTAATTCTTTCTGATGACTTAAAGGTAGACAGACAATGTAATAGAGCAGCAGGAAAGGCTAGCAGAATGCTTGGTTGTATAGGGGGAGGTATTAGCAGTAGAAAAAGGGAAGTGCTCATGCCATTATACAGAACACTGGTGAGACCTCACTTGGAGTATTGTACACAGTACTGGAGACCGTATCTTCAGAAGGATATTGATACCTTAGAAAGGGTTCAGAGAAGGGCTATTAAACTGGTTCATGGATTGCAGCATAAAACTTACCAGGAAAGGTTAAAGGATCTTAACATGTATAGCTTGGAGAAAAGACGAGACAGGGGGGATATGATAGAAACATTTAAATACATAAAGGGAATCAACACAGTAAAGGAGGAGACTATATTTAAAAGAAGAAAAACTACCACAACAAGAGGACATAGTCTTAAATTAGAGGGACAAAGGTTTAAAAATAATACCAGGAAGTATTACTTTACTGAGAGGGTAGTGGCCCCGCCCCTCAGACTGAATGCAAGAATCTGTACATGGCCCCGCAATTTGCAGGAGGAAGAAGGAAGAGCATTGGTCTGAAATGACAGATACACACACTGTGCATACACAGAGCTCAGCTACCCACACTGTTTACATACACACAGATTAGCTGTATTAGTAGCAATGTGTGCGTACTGTGTGTACAGTGTGAGTAAATTAACATAGTGCTCACCCTCCAGCCAGTCACTGCATGGCCGTGCGGACAGTGGTAGAGGATATTCTGGATCGTCTACCTGGTCTGACAGGAAGCTAAGAGCACCAGACAGCTTTCTGTCAGACAGGGTAGAGGATACAGAAAATCCTCTATTGAGGTCCTTATGTCCATGCTACAAAAGGTAGGTAAGAAGGCGCAGGAGGGGGGGGAGATGAGACCACAAAGGGACCCTGGGGCGTTGGGATAAAGAGACACACCAAAGGGGCTGGGAAAGAAAGCACACAAAGTGACTGAAGGGGAGAAAAAGATACAAAAGGGCTGTGGGGGAGAGACACTGTAAAATGTACTTTGGATTGGTGATAATGTAGAATCTTCTTAATTTCTTCTTATCTTCAGTTGATTGATATATATATACGTCTTTTGTATATATAGTCTTGGGCCAAATGCTCGCCACAATAATATATGTCTATATTATTGAAAAGTAGTAATACGCAATCTGACTTACGGTTTCTTCAGGTTTATTCTTAGTTACGGATACATAATAAAACATAATAAAGGATGTTACAGGATTATGGACATTCAACAGCAGATGGTAATTGCTGGACTTCTGATGGGAGAGTTACATCGTTGTACAGAGCCGAGAGCCAAGCCAAGACTGCGAACGACCTCGTGTCCCTCTGCTACTATATAGAAGTGCTCATACTAACGTCAGCGTTTAACTCTAGCCATATAAAGACAAGACCCCCGAATCCACATTCCAGAGCTCTCGGACAAAGAAAGCCTTGTGACTTATTGATACCATCTGTTACTTATGTCAATCCACACATCCATATATATAATCAATAGAAACATAGAATATGCAATATTCTACATTCCCTCTGTTTATGGTTTGTTTTAAAACCATAACACAATGTAACCAACCTGTCCATTCATACATCACTCGTATTACATTCATTGAGCATAGAACAAGATGTAGTCACAACTTTCTATTATATGAGAGTTCTTAGAAGGTCGAGTTTCTATCCCTCATACTGCTTACTTTACTTCAAAACTCCCTCTGTTTCAGCTGTGTATTGATATCCATATCCATGTTACATAATAACTACTTGAACATAATATGTACATATATATAACAATAATAAATGAATAAAATAAAATATTTACAAATGTTGATCCAATAAACAATAAAGCAATCAGAAAGATCAACCTGCTCTGGTACAGTCGTATCTTTGTAGATAACAAAATCAAGATCGTAACTTTCTAGATAATAACTGTGTATCACTATCATATTCCTAATAAAGACAAATATAGCATAGTATTTTCATTCTCAATACCTGATATTACTTAAGTACTAATACATGTATTACTATAATATCCTGTCCAATTAGATTTCCATGAATCATATGGTTTCTAGCAACCTTAAAATCTTTAGGTCATTTGTATTCATGAATTACATTCCTTTACCATTAATACCACCTAGTGATGATTGTATCAGTACTTTACAATCATAGAATTTAATTTGTTTATTCAGTAGGCTCTAACTACCTGAAATATATCAACACTACTTATAAGACTCATTCAAAGGATGTGTTATCAACCATGAAGTTCTATAATAATTCTTCAAATAATGTTCATGGTGTTGACAATACTTATTGTCCTAGAAATTCTTCACCCAGAAATCTTTCTATCATTTTTGTTCACATAATTATAATTTTGACTAAAATTCCACCTTGTAGTAACAAACATTTCATTCAATCGGAGAATGGTTTACTTTAAAAGAACTTGGAAAGAATACTTTAAATTCATTAGCATCACTCTCTTCATTAGCATTGTGATGACTTATTAATGTAATACATCTCAACATAAAAGTAGGATTGTCCTAATGTTACCCTAACATTTATTCTGACCAATCCGTATTCCTTAGTACACTTCAACTGACTAAAATAAAATAAAATAAAATAAACTTGGGGTCATACTGCCCAGAAACTCTTATTCCTAGTCTGTGTCTAACAAACTCAGGGTAATCATAAAATCACTTATAACAACTTATTCAATTCATTGGATACTTTAATATCCAGAAACCTATTGTCCTTAGTCCATACCTTTATAGACTTAGGTCAAATATAATTGTGTACTAAACTCAATTCAATTCAATTCCTCTTGGATCTCTGAACTCTTATATCCAAGGCATTCTTAATGTATATAATTACTTAATATTAATCAATATAAATTATCCTTCCCTAGTTTTCTTCCTTATGTTACCATTGTTTGTTTTACTTCACCTCGATTATAAACAAATTATTAATTATAGTTAATCTATGAAATACTATTGAACTCAATCTTTGTGGTATTAAGTAACCATGATCCTTATTTTATCAACTTCATATTTTATCTGCCTCTGATACTTCTCATTCTATGTATAGGTCATAATGTAATAGTTCTCTTCATAATACGATTCTTTCGTAATTTTACTCCATGTGTTATATAGCTATAAGTAGTCTCTTTTGGTATTAATAGTCATAACTGTTAAATAACTTTTCATTGTCTGTTTTCTTCTTCATTAATATTTAGGAATATATATGTATGTTAGTGTCAATCTTTTATTTCTTGTAAGTCTGTTAATCTTCTGTATCACATGAACTCTGTAGAATCTTCCATCACAGTTTGCCGATCAGATGAAAAGTCTCTTTCCAACAGTCGATGTCCAGTTGTCTGAAGGAATGCTTTCCTGATTTACTGCCACAAGGATCTGTCACGCTTTACCAGATCAGTTATTTCTGTCTATTTCGTTGCTTCATCCATACAGCTGCGCAGTTCTGGACGCGTGCCAATCTCTGCCACGTGCTTGCTTCTAGAATTCACGTTGTATCTTGTGCTTTTTGTCTCAGTTGTAGAAAATAGTCTTGTACAGTCTTTATGATTTGAAAACTCTCTTTTTCTTACAAACCACAGTTCTTCTATGATAGTCAGTCTAGATTCTTTTTTTCTCTTCAAGTTTGTTTTCCCAGTTCCAAAATAGCTTTGTAACTCGATTCTTCTCTCTCCCCCCTTGAAGTGGGAACAAAACTTGAATAGAAGACTAGCAGGCTAGCCAATGTAAAATGTACTTTGGATTGGTGATAATGTAGAATCTTCTTAATTTCTTCTTATCTTCAGTTGATTGATATATATACGTCTTTTGTATATATAGTCTTGGGCCAAATGCTCGCCACAATAATATATGTCTATATTATTGAAAAGTAGTAATACGCAATCTGACTTACGGTTTCTTCAGGTTTATTCTTTGTTACGGATACATAATAAAACATAATAAAGGATGTTACAGGATTATGGACATTCAACAGCAGATGGTAATTGCTGGACTTCTGATGGGAGAGTTACATCGTTGTACAGAGCCGAGAGCCAAGCCAAGACTGCGAGTGACCTCGTGTCCCTCTGTTACTATATAGAAGTGCTCATACTAACGTCAGCGTTTAACTCTAGCCATATAAGGACAAGACCCCCGAATCCACATTCCAGAGCTCTCGGACAAAGAAAGGCTTGTGACTTATTGATACCATCTGTTACTTATGTCAATCCACACATCCATATATATAATCAATAGAAACATAGAATATGCAATATTCTACAGACACACAAGGGGCTTGGGAAGGGGCGAAAGAGATACATAAAAGGGGCTGGGGAAGAGATACAAAATGGGCTTGGGGGAAAAAAGACACACAGGGAATTGGGGAAACAGGCACACAGATATGATGTGGGGGAGAAAGAGACACACTAAAGGGGCTGGGAAGCAGTAAGAGCCACGCAAGAGGCTGGGGAAAGGTAAAAGAGACACACAGAAGGGATGGGAAGAACGAGACACGCAGGGAGGATGGGGAAAAAAGAGACACACAAAAGCAGCTTGAAAGGACAGACACACAAAAGTTGATGGGGAAAAGACACACAGAAGAGGGTAGGGGAAATAGACTAAGAGTCACACAAAGGGGTTGAGGGGAGAAAAAGACACACAGAGATGATGGGGAAGGGGGTAAGAGACACACAAAATGGACTGGGGAAAAGAGACACACAAAAAGGGCTAGGATAGATAGACACAAAAGTGACTTGGGGCAAATAAACAGTAAAGAGGTTTGGGGGAAAAGACACACAGGTGAATATGCAATTTGGAGTAGGGGTCGGGGTAGGGTCACAAAATGCTTGTTCGCCTGTGTAGCCTGCTAGCAAATATCCTTGCACCAGCACTGGCTGTGTCATGTCAAGTTGCCCTGTTTTATTCAAGAAAATAAAAGGTTTTGAACCACCTTTAAGAAACAATGCATGCACGCCCAATCCAAAAAGGCCAAATCTCCGCTCTCTATTCCCACATAATCCAAAATGTCAAACACGGCGCCCTCACCTACGTGTCGGCTTGGGAGAGGGACCTGGGCCCCGCGGAGGACGCATCAGACTGGTCTGACATATGGAAGGCCACAGCCTTTATCTCCATTTGCGTCAATCATAAGGAACAGGCCTATAAAACCTTAATGAGATGGTACACCACCCCCCTAAAACTGAAACAGATGGGCAGGTCAGACTCGGATCTGTGTTGGAAGGGTTGTGGCTGCAAGGGAACCTACCTTCACCAATGGTGGGAATGCCCCCCAATCAAACTGATCTGGAGCCAAGTAGCAACCATGGTTTCCAGAATCTTACATACCGACATCCCTCTAAACCCCTGGATCTGGCTGTTATCGAAACCATATGCAGACATACCTAGAGCACAAAACAAGCTGACAGCAAAGATAGCTCTAGCAGCCAGGAGAGCCATAGCTGAAAAGTGGGGTAGCACCGAAACTCCCACCATGGAGGTCATTAGAAGGAAAATAACAGACACAATCAAAATGGATGAACTGTCCGCATTAGTACACGACACTACTAGAACCTTCCACAAAATATGGGACCCATGGTTCTATGAATTCCCGGCCATAGGCAACACACACTGAGCAAAGCACGCTCAGACCATAATCCGGACTGGGGCGGACGGGCTCCCGCATTCCCGCATAACGGGTTACCCCACCCCCCCCACCTTTTTTTTTTTAATTCTTCCCCTCTTACTTCTCTCTCACCCCCACTCACACCCCGCCACACACCATGTACAGACGATAACGCTACTTCAGAACCAGCAGTCGTATACAGTACTAGGGACAAAGACAACCAACTAAAAGAACACACACAACGGGAACATACTTATCCTACCACAGTTCGGACCCATGAACACCTACACTCTCGACCCGACCAAGATATGGGTGGCAACACACATAGAGCAGGCACACACAACGCAAAACCACGCCACGAGACGGACAAGCCAGGTGACGCACACGGACTCCCACCCCCCAGTATAATTCCTCTGTAGGCGTTACACAGAACAAACTTCCCCAAACCCGATGAACCCCATGTCACATTCAAAGATGAGACAACCATTCTCCCCTCACCCGCGATCCTACTCCAACCCACGGACCTCAACCAACTTAAGACGGGGACACTAGATAGCCATAAAGACACGATAAGTAGGCAACCCCGAAAGAGAACAGACCAGACTAGCCCAACCGGGCTTACACTCGATAACACACGCAATACTGCCCCCCCCAAAGGGGTGAGCCAGAGGACGCAGGAAGGGGACTCATAACACACACCGCACCAGGGGTAACAAACCGCAACAAGAGCTAGTAACCTTACCCACATCACCTTTTCTTCTGTACCCCACCCCAAACCCAAGAGGAAAGAAAGAAAATAGACAGAAACAAACGCATTATATAGACTATTTACTCGGACACTAAGCGATAAACAACCAATACTCGCAAATGTTATGCTCATCTACTAAGTACTGTCGACCACTGTTTGGCAAATCTGTATCGCTCACTTTTACTCCCCGACTTCTCTTCTGTACCCCTACCCCGAATGCAAATACTTTTCAAAATAAAGAATTTAAAAAATAAAAGGTTTTGTTTTTTATACTACAAAAAAAAAGCGAATCTTACAGACAAATATTTTACTTTTAACAGAACATCTATCTTTGATAACTTACTACTAATGCTACTTCCTTGCAATGCAAACTAACCATCATAAGATGTGACTGCAGGAAATGTACTTTCTATTGCAGAAGGGATTAGGGACTACAGAGAAATAGCATTTAAGATCCACTCCTTGAGATTTATTTCTTTATTACTGGCTAGTATGCTTGCCAATTTTCATTAACAGAAAACATACTGTAAACTGTAGCAAAGCTGCTATAGTCATCAAAATGTGCCCATCCTATTTTCTGCCCTGGTTCCAACCTCTGTAAGCAGAAGCAATATTTAAGTTTTATTTAGTGAGGAAAAATAATATATTAAACATATCCCTATCAATTCATACAT